CCCTTTTTTTGGTGGTAGGTAAATGATGCCATGGATTTTTTTTTAAAGTATATTCTGAATACTAAACTCTTTACCGGTTAATTGTCCACAATCGGATTTATTAGTCTTTCCCTTTCTGGTTGTTACAACTAGTTCTCTGCCATTCCACAGATTTTAAAAAATGTACAACCTACTCTCTTGGCACATTTCAAATCAACAGTACATTATTATTAACTACAGTCACCATTAGATCCCCAAAGCTTATTTAATCTTATAAGTGAAAGCTTGCATCCTTTGACCCAAACCCCCCACCCCCCACCCCCCAGCCCCCTCTGATCCCATCCTCCAGACCCTGGCAACCAACATTTTACTCCATTTCTGAGCTTGACTACTTTAGAGTCCACACATAAATGAGATCACACAGTATTTGTTTGTGTGTGTGTGTGTGTGTGTGTGTGTGTGTGTTTCTGGCTTATTTCATAATGCCATCTATGTCCATCCATGTTGTTGTAAATGATAGGATTTCCTTCTTTTTTTAAGGCTGAATAATATACTGTTATTATCCACTTTCTCTACCCATTCATCTATCCATGAAAACTTTGGTTGTTTCCATATATGGTTATTGTGAATAATGCTGCAGTGTGGGCCAGCTGGTACCATGGGGGTTGGGGCAGCCACATGGGCTGGGGATCCCACATGGCCGACTGTATGGTTTGAGACTCAGACACAGCAGCTTGAAAAACACACTGGCCACAAGTACATGCATGCCCAGGTCCCAAAAGAAAGGATGGAGGAGAAGGGATTGTGGTTGCCATTCCCCCATGAGGAGTGCTTTCTCATCTTCTTCTCTCTTTCTCTGTTTCTCTCTTTGGTGAACACACATGCCCTCTAGCAAATTAAAAATAATAATAGTAATAATAATGCTGCAGTGAACATGGAAGCGTAGGTATGTTTTCAAGATACAACTTCACAGTCTTTGGATATATATGTAGAGATTGATTGTTGCATCTATGCTTACATTATTGTATTCTAGTATATGAAAACCTAATAATTTACTTATTCATTAACTTACTGAAGTCATTTAGCTGTCTTTAACATTTTCAGTCTAACAATGTTGCATTAAACATCCTTGCACATATTTTTGCACCAATTTGTATATGTATGTAGAAAAAAGTCCAGAAGAATTTATCCTACATAAGTGAGTATGCTGAGTAAGAATTACATGACTTTAAAAATACATTTATAATTTGCATTTGCAAATTGCATTTCTAGAAAGTCTTACCTTTCTGAATTCTCATCAACTGAGAATGAAGATTCTTATTTATCCTGCTCACTGGATCCTGGGAATGTTTTTAATCCTTGTCAATCTAAGAAGCAACAAAAAGTAAATAAATTTTATTGTTTTATTTAGAGTTTTAATAGTACATTTAATTATCTTTTGAAAAGTTTGAAATTTAGATTTTTTTTGGTACAAAATCCCTATTTTAACCTGAATAAACTTGGAAGGGTTCTTTTTATTTGCTTTCTGTTTTTCTCTCTTAAAAATGTGCAAAGGGCAAACCATTGACTTGAAGAAAATACTCAAATACATGAGACTGATGAAAGCCTTGTATCCAAAAAATATGAAGAAATTTTACAATGCAAAAATTAAAAAATGATCAATGAAATTTTAAAAAATGAACAAAAGATTTTGGAGACATTTTACAAAAGGGAATACTGAATGACCATTAAGCACAAGGAAAGATTCTCAATATCATTAATCATCAGGGAAATGTACATTAAAACCACAATGAGAAATCCCTAATCTTGAATGGCTAAAATTAAATACTGACAATACTAAGTGTTCCTAAGGCTCTCGGGAATCTAGAATACTCATACACTGCTAGTGGGAGTGTAAAATTGCACAATCACTTTAAAGAACTATTGGACAAGTTCTTATACAGTTAAACATACACTTACTATATGGCCCAGCAATTTTATTTCATAGGTATTTACCTCAGAGAAGTTTAAGCATTCACCCACAAATAAAATCCTGTATGCACATAGCAGCTTTGTTCATTATAGTCAAAAACTGAAATGATCCAAATGTGCATTAATGACCAAATGGATAAAGTAAATCCATAAATAAAGGAACATATTACTGATAAACACAACATAGAATAATTCTCAAAACATTGTGCTGTGTGGGACCAGCAGTTAGCATAATGGCTATGTCGCTGGACTCCCACGTAGTCGACCGTGGTTCAAGTCCTGATTGTGGCATGGCCATTCCCCCTGAGGGGTGATTTCTCACTCTCCCTTTCTCTCTGTCTCTCTCAGGCTCTTTCTGGCAAGCATATGTGCCTTATGGCAAAAATCTAAAAAAATATATCAACTGTGTAATAAAGTACAGAAAATAATAAACGGCCACTCACCTATCTGCCAGTATGCTTGAAAAGATGTCAACATTTTACCATATTTGTTTTAGATCTGCTTTCTTCTTAAAGAAGCATATTATTTTTTTTTTTAAAAAAAAAGCATATTATTACAGATATTTGTAAAGTTTCACCACTCATCACTCACCCTTCCTTCCTGCTTCAGAGGAAATAATTCTTCTCAATATGGTGTAGTTCATTCCCATAAATGATCACTTTCTACGTATGTGTATGTGTGTCTCTATAAAATATTCTATTTTATGTACTTAGTTTTTTAGATAGAATAGCAATATATAATACATGTCATTTTGTAATTTTATTTTTTATTCAACTTTAAGTTTTTGAGAATTCTTAATGTGCATACAAGTAAAACTAATTTATTAACTTTAACATCTATATGATACTCTGCTGTGTAAATAAACAGCTTATCTATTCCACAGCTGATGGACATTTAGGTTATTTCCATTTTTTTCCTACAACAATGTTATTATAATCATTTTCATTATGTCTCTTTGGGCACAGATTACCTTTCAACCTTATTTAGTTTTGGCAAATTATTCTCCAATGTGATTGTGCTAATTTCACCAGCAACCTTCTCATGAAGATAGCCCCTATGTAAACACTCAAAATTGCTTTAGTTTATTACTGTTATTATGTTATAATTAATGCCCATCTTATGAATATAAAATGTTTATCTCTTTATTACTTATTTTGCAGTTCCTTATTTCTAGTGAGGTTCAACATCTTTTCGTATATTTATTGTCATTTGTATTTTTCATCTTTGTCAATGTTATATCTTTTGGTTATTTTTTTTCTTCTTTATATGTTTTTTACTTATCAATTCATTAGTGTTCTATGTATATTCTGAATACTAAATCCTTTACTAGTTAATTGTCCACAATCTCATTTATTAGTCTTTCCCTTTCTGTCTGTTATGGACTAGTTCTCTGCCATTCCACAGATTAAGTCATGGCTACACTAAGTATGACCTATGAATTTGTTTAAAGAATTATTTAATTTTATTTATTATTATTTTTAATTTGCTATAGGGCATGCATGTTCACAAGAAAGAGAGAGAGAACAAGCCACCATGTCTGGAACTCAAACTGCAGTTGGCCATGTGGAAGTCCAGCACCTTTACCATCATGCTACCTTCTGACCCCAGAGTATGATCTATGGATCAGCAGGAGCAGTAATAATAGCAAAGAACTTGTTAAAAAATTCATTCCCTGGTCCTAGGTCTGCAGTATCAGAATCTCATTTTTTTAAGAGATGTTTTTGCTATGAGGCACGGATGCTCGCCAGAGACACAGAGAAAGACAGAGAGAAAGTAAAACATCACCCCTGGGGGCTGGCCACCCTACAGTCCCTTCTCCTTCATTCTCCTCTTGGGATTTTGGGCATGCACACACACGTGCCCTGCGTGCGTTTCAAGTCACCAGGTCCAGGATTCGAACTGTAGTCAGCCTTATGGGAGTCCAGTGCCACAACCACTATGTCACCTGCTAGCCACCAGAATCTGAATTTTAACAAGATCGCTAGATGATCTGCATCATGTTAAAGATTTTAAGATACTGGATTAAATAAGAAAAGAACAAAAGTGAAAACACAGCAGATCCTACCTGCTGTCTGCTGTTTCATAAATAAAACTGTGGACCTGTGAATCCTTAATTCGTATACACTTGAGCTGCATTAAAGAAATTCAGAAAGCAAGGGGGATCAACAATTGGCATAATGGCTATGTTGCTGGACTTCCATGTAGTTGGCTGTGGCTCAAGTCCCAGTCCCAGTGGCTTAAACTCACGCCAGGCGCATGTGTGTGCGTGTCCAAGATCCCAAGAGGAGAATGGAGGAGAAGGGATTGTGGTGTGGCCATCCCCCCTGGGGGGTGATTTCTTGTTTTCTGTCTCTTTGTCTCTCTCTGTCTTTCTGGTGAGCATACAGGCTCCCTATAGTAAAAAACTGTCAAAAAAAAAAAAAAAAGAAAGAAAAGAAAAGAAATTCAGAAAGCAAGGAACCCATTAGAATCTGTTCTGTAAATGTGGATATATATGAGATTTCACAATTGAGTTAGCATAGTGGAGACAAACCTGTTTATCTGATTCTAATAGAGAGATAAACAGTGAGAGTAGCTGCATTGTAATGCAACTCAGAATGCAAGCCTGGGAAGTTTGTTGAATGCTGTCAAGAAAGAAACGCATTCAGCCAGGAAGTGTAATCCATCAAATGTCTTCCTTGTTCATACATGCCTCTATTTTTAGTTGACACAAAATGCTCCAGAAATGAATAACAACTAGAATTAATAGAGGAAATTGCCAAGACTTGTACAGGTTGTCAGACGTGTGATGACTTCTGTGTATCAACACAATTTCCTGGGGAGCATATGAGTGTTTGGCCATGCACAAAGGGAGCACTGAAAGAGCACATGACTGAAGTGGAGAGTTATAAAATTATACCTTAGAACACCCTGACTTTTCTAGGCTGAGGGAGATTACTGTGCAGGCCAAACTACCTGACTGCAGGGATTGTGACAGAGGTATTTACTACTTACTGAATGTCTATGCACTCACCCACATTTCACAGCCCCCTTACAGTCCATAGAGGCACATAACACTGGATCTGGCCAATGGATTATGAGAAGGAGAAACATGTCACTTCTGGCCTGAAACAATTTCCAGCTCCCTCTCTCTCCTAACCTGCTACAGCAAATAAAGAGATCATGAGTTACACACCTTGCAGCTCCAAGGTACCTGAACCTCCATTAGTAGCCTGGGCTCCTGCGTGATCAGGTCCAGGAGATACCCTCACTGACTCACACTGGACGTAGAGCATGAGTAAGAAAAATACTACATCTGTGTTAAGCCATGAGATTTGAGTGTTGTTTGCATTCCAGCATAGCCTGAGTTATACAAATGCATAGCTAACTCCACCTTATTAATAATACTAACACTATTGAGTGCTACTCTTTTCCAGGCTCTCAGCTGTAAATTTTATTATATACATTATGCAATGTCTCACTATCTTTTGAAGCAGACAGTAATATTATCATACATTATATGATATTTATGATCTAGAGCTATAGCATAGCTATATTTACAAGGTATTTTCACAACATTCATGGAAAAATGTGTATTATGAAACAACTCTGCATGGATTTCACAATGTTTTGCACCAAAATAAACTCATACTTCAATTTCACTTTTTCCATAGACTTTTTGAAGTCCCCTCATATATATAAAATATATATGATCTAGCTATAAAGCACATATATATCAATAGTACACAGATGTGACCTATGTAGAGAGATGGGTATCAATCTATCATACATATCAATAGTTTACTGTATGAGGATAAAATTTTTCCTTCTAGCTAAGGCCAGTCTCTCCATATGGGGTCTGGATGCTATCTCCTCCTGCCTTACATTATTAATAATTCCTTCACTCTCCTGACTGCATTCTCTATCCGTTTTGGTTTCTCAGCATTCTCAATCTCTCCTAGCATAACAAAAGCTTTCCATCCACCTCACTTCTCTGTCCAATTACCATCTCCCCTCCTCTCCTCTTCTATCTCTGTCTCTCATCTCTCGCCATTTCTAGCGCAATGATGTTCTGCTGTTGGTGAATCCCTTGTGCATGTTCCCGTCAGTGGTGGATCGGATGCATCTGCTTTTCCCTGCTGTGGGAGAACACGACTGGGCAGTTCAGACTACAGGCTGGACTAGCTGAGCTGGCCTCCAGCTCTCCCATTGTCTGATCTCTACATCTATAAACCACCTTACAGGGTTGCAATAAAACTGGTCCATTCGATGAATATTTAATAAGTATTTACTATAGGCCAAGTCTTGGTTTATACGTGATTTAATACAATTTAGGACACATAACGTTTAGCAGAGTACTTTGCTCATTTCATGTTACGTCAGTATCCCTAGTATTACTATAGTTACCTGTCGACGTTGGCCTGTGTCACATAGGTGAAATTGTGACATCTGTCACTACCTGGGCAGCGTCCCTGCGGGGCTTCAATCTCCACCGCACAAGCTCTTGGGCCTCAGGTCCAGGTGGCCTCGCATCCCGCTAGGCCGCCAGAGGGCGTACGGGCCCGTACCGCCCTTCCACAGTGCCTGCGCCTGCGCCTGCGCCGCACCGGCCGCTCGGCCTTGGCTCCCCTCCCCCTGGCGCGCGCCCCGCCTCGTGCCCAAAGCTCCGCCTCCGTTGCCCCTGGCGGCTGTTTGTTGACTTCCGGGAGCGCGGTTGTAGCCGATGTCCGGAGTGTCGTTATGGGGGTCCCGGGGGCTCCCGCGGCCTGTTGCTGGACTGGGGGGGTGGCCTGTG